TCTCTTTTGTTACGCTTGAAATTAGCATTAAGAGCCATTCTCACCATCCGTGAAGTTCCACGGTAGTTCGAGAACGTAACGTCGGTACACAAGCTCAGACAAGGCACAACCCATTTTTGACGGTCCCCGTCCTCGACTTAGGCCTATCTAATCTGAAATTAGCGTGTGTGTGTGGGGGGGGGATGGGGGCGTCGGGCGCTATTTCTCGAAATCCTATTCCATCTGATTTGGTCAAGATTGGTCGTGACGAAAAGTTGACATGAAAGTTGGCAGTTTATAAATCATAGTTGCTTCCCTCAGTGGCGTAGCTGGGGGGGGTGCGGGGGAGTGACTCCATGAATTTACCGCACCGGGTGACACCGACCCTAGCTACGCCGCTGGGCTTCCCCGACTTAAAGTACGATACGAGACGTTCATTTTACGAGAACATCCGAAATGCCGCGGGTGTGAGTGGCGTAGCTGGGGGGGGGGATGCCGGGGTGCGTACCGCACCGGGTGGCACCATGAGTTTACCCCACCAGGTGACACCAACCCCAGCTACGCCACTGTCGCAAGTGATTCAAAGACCTATTGAAGAAAATCTCTCATTTTCTTTGGCCTTGCATTATTGAGGACGCATGCACCGCAGAGCGGTACTTAAAAAAAAATATTGTGGTTCATTTGTTGCTGTTGTTTTTTCTTCGGTTTTTTTTTTCCTTCTAAAAGGCTTGCCCTGAAAAGTCTGCCTTAAAAATCTACATTTGATATTATTTTAAATTTAAACAAAAAACTATATCTTTCTTAAAATATTTTCGTAATTCCTGTTTTATCAAAATCTAATCTGCTCAGCTCAACTAAGCTCATCACAAAACTTGTCAGGCCTAAAGACCTATTAAGTAAAGTTCCAAATATTGTCAGGCCTTAAAACCTATTGAAAAACGTCACAAAACTTGACACCCTTTAAGACCTATTGAATAAAGTCACAAAACTTGACAGGCCTTAAGACCTGTTGAATAAAGTCACAAAACTTGACAGCCTTTAAGACCTATTGAATAAAGTCACAAAACTTGTCAGGTCTAAAGACCTATTGAATAAAGTCACAAAACTTGACATCCTTTAAGACCTATTGAATAAATTCACAAAACTTGACAGCCTTTAAGACCTATTGAATAAAGTCACTAAACTTGACAGCCTTTAAGACCTATTGAATAAAGTCACAAAACTTGTCAGGCCTAAAGACCTATTGAATAAAGTCACAAAACTTGACAGCCTTTAAGACCTATTGAATAAAGTCACAAAACTTGTCAGGCCTAAAGACCTATTGAATAAAGTCACAAAACTTGTCAGGCCTAAAGACCTATTGAATAAAGTCACAAAACTTGTCAGGCCTAAAGACCTATTGAATAAAGTCACAAAACTTGTCAGGCCTTAAGACCTATTGAATAAAGTCACAAAACTTGTCAGGCCTTAAGACCTATTGAATAAAGTCACAAAACTTGTCAGGCCTTAAGACCTATTGAATAAAGTCACAAAACTTGGCAGGCCTTAAGACCTATTGAATAAAGTCACAAAACTTGGCAGGCCTAAAGACCTATTGAATAAAGTCACAAAACTTGGCAGGCCTTAAGACCTATTGAATAAAGTCACAAAACTTGACATCCTTTAAGACCTATTGAATAAAGTCACAAAACTTGTCAGGCCTTAAGACCTATTGAATAAAGTCACAAAACTTGACATCCTTTAAGACCTATTGAATAAAGTCACAAAACTTGTCAGGCCTTAAGACCTATTGAATAAAGTCACAAAACTTGTCAGGCCTAAAGACCTATTGAATAAAGTCACAAAACTTGTCAGGCCTTAAGACCTATTGAATAAAGTCACAAAACTTGTCAGGCCTAAAGACCTATTGAATAAAGTCACAAAACTTGTCAGGCCTTAAGACCTATTGAATAAAGTCACAAAACTTGTCAGGCCTTAAGACCTATTGAATAAAGTCACAAAACTTGTCAGGCCTTAAGACCTATTGAATAAAGTCACAAAACATGTCAGGCCTTAAGACCTATTGAATAAAGTCACAAAACTTGTCAGGCCTAAAGACCTATTGAATAAAGTCACAAAACATGTCAGGCCTTAAGACCTATTGAATAAAGTCACAAAACTTGTCAGGCCTTAAGACCTATTGAATAAAGTCACAAAACTTGTCAGGCCTAAAGACCTATTGAATAAAGTCACAAAACTTGTCAGGCCTTAAGACCTATTGAATAAAGTCACAAAACTTGTCAGGCCTAAAGACCTATTGAATAAAGTCACAAAACTTGTCAGGCCTTAAGACCTATTGAATAAAGTCACAAAACTTGTCAGGCCTTAAGACCTATTGAATAAAGTCACAAAACTTGTCAGGCCTAAAGACCTATTGAATAAAGTCACAAAACTTTTCAGGCCTAAGGACCTATTGAAAAAGTCACAAAACTTGTCAGGCCTTAAGACCTATCAAAATAAGTCACAAAACAATACACCATTCGGGGTTCGGTCCAGAAAGTTGTCATTAAAACCTTGAAACACCAAAAAGAAAGCAACAACAACATTGTGTCACGTGGTGCAGCCTATATTTATATGGGCGCTTCATTATATAAAAGATTACATAGTCTTCACACGTCAGAATTTACTGCTTCGATTCCATGACGTATACCTTTTGACTGATTCCTATCAAAGTGCCATTGTCATTCGTTATCGTTAAATCCCATTTATAACGTTCAAGTAATAACTCATCTATTCTTCAGGCTATTCGCCCGTAATCCGACCTGGAGTTAGCGTATATCAAAACCCAATCTCAGCTCGGTTAAATTCGTCATAAGACTCTTCAGGCCCCGAGACCTACTGTATAAGAAGTTATTCATTAAAACCTTGCTATTTTTAAACAGTAGCCTTAAGTTAAGTTGGGCACGAAATGTGCGCGAGTAAATAGATCAATGCTCGGCAACCCCCACAAGATTATGGTCACGTGGTCTAATTATTGCACGTTATCCAGACATTAATGCCCCTGGCCAAAGTAAGTCCTGGGAGGGGCATCTAACACCTCGCTATAACAAAAAATATAAGTCTGATTGCTGCGATTGCAGGAGAAAATTTAACATACCTTTGTCAGACAGCTGCGTCTAGCGAACCTTCACCTATAGTGAACAAATCTTTGTCAGACAGCTGCGTCTAGCGAACACTCAGACATGGTGAAAATAACGTCTTCAGACATTTGTGATTGGCGAACCTTCAGACATAGAGAACAAATCTTTGTCAGACAGCTGTGGCGGGCGAACACTCAGACATAGGGAAAATATCGTTTTCAGACCTTTGTGATTGGCGAACCTTCAGATATAGTGAGCAAATCTTTGTCAGACAGCTGTGGCGGGCGAACACTCAGACATAGGGAAAATATCGTTTTCAGACCTTTGTGATTGGTGAACCTTCAGATATAGTGAGCAAATCTTTGTCAGACAGCTGTGGCGGGCGAACACTCAGACATAGGGAAATTATCGTTTTCAGACCTTTGTGATTAGCGAACTTTCAGACATAGAGAACAAATCTTTGTCAGACAGCTGTGGCGGGCGAACCTCCAGATATATTTTGAGCAAAGGAGCGTCGGTACTTGAGACCGTGATACATTTTAGTTGTGTTTAACTCATTGTTTGCGTTTAGTTCATCGGTTGTGTTTAATTCATTGTGTTGAGTTCAGTGTTCGTGTTTAGTTCATTGTTTGTGTTTAATTCATTGCTTGTGTTTAGTTCATTGGTTGTGTTTAATTAATTGTTTGTATTGAGTTCATTTATTGTGTTGAATTCATTGTGTTTAATTTTATGTGTGTGTGTTTGGTTCTTTGGTTGTGTTTAATTCATTGTTGGTGTTTAATTATTATTTTTTTCCTAACTTTTTTGACATGGGGCATAACTTTTTGACAAGGAGCATAACATTTTTCAGACATGGAGCATAACTATTTTGACATGGAGCTTAACTATGTTGACATGGATCATTACAATGTTGACATGGAGATTTTTTTTTTTTTTTTTTTTTTTTTTTTTTTTTTTTTTTTTTTTTTTTTTTTTTTTTTTTTTTTTTTTTTTTTTTTTTTTTTTTTTTTTTTTTTTTTTTTTTTTTTTTTTTTTTTTTTTTTTTTTGGCTTTTTTTTAAGACAAGCGATGGAGAAAACACGAACAATGAGAAGACAACTCTTTCAAACCTTTAGTCACAGGTAGTTTATAGCACAAAAAAATAACAATGCTCAAATACACAGCGTGTGTTGTCGTTAAAATAGTATAATGTATTGCATGAAATTTAAACATGATGATGCATTTAATTTAGGCCTGAGATAATAATTTTTCATAACTAACTTGTATGACATATTGACAGAGTAAAGCTTATGTTGTATGCTGGACGTTTTACGTGTCACCGTGGCCGAGAAACAAGTGGGAAAGCTGAGGATGATTATAGTGACAGTGACCTTGAACTTAGGGAGGGAAAAAAAGCAGCAGAGAACTCAGATTTACAACATGGTACAGATTTTAATCGACCTACGTTGATTTCTTGTTTTCCAGGGCCAGGAACTGGTAGGCGCACTTACGGTTCGTGGTTTTGATGCAGTCGTCTCCCCTTCGACCCAAAGGACGGTAAGCATGAAAGTCAAACCGTGCTGGGTGGTTTCGACTTGTGTCGCCCGCTCGCTGCTCCACAGACGCTGCGACGTCGTTTACAGGTACTTGCTGGCCATCATCCTCGTCGTCATTACGGCGCTGCTCGCACCGCCGCTGAGAAATAACATACTGCGACCAGTGTGGCCGAAAGCTTGGAGGACGGTCGGCAGCATCGACCTGCTTCTCATGGAGATGACCAGGGGTCCGACGGACGTCGGCAATATAACCCGCTGCCCCTCGCTGGCCAGGCCCGGTGTGTCCAAGCAAGATCCTCGCGTGGTCAATGTCGAGGCGTATGAACACATCGCGTCGTCCGCCGTCCATCTGCGCCAAAAGAATCACGTGCACTTCTACCCGGTCCTGTCCCCCGCGGAGAAGTCGGCAGCGCTTCGCCTGTACCTTATCTTCGCCGAGGCGCTGACGCGGGCCGGCGTGAGCTTTTTCCTGCGCGCCGGATCTCTCCTCGGGACACATCGCCACCACGGGTTCATCCCATGGGATGACGACATCGACATTGCCGTCAACGTCACAGACTGGAGGAAGGTCCTGGAAACCCTGGCGTGCGTCGAGGGCCACTTCTTGCTCGTCCAGACGAACATGCACTGGGTTTTCTTCGAATCCTCGAACAGGTACCCGTTTATCGACCTTTTTTTCTACACAGAAAACAACCAGTACATCTACGCCGTCACCCAGTACACCCGGCGCACTTTCGTTTTAATCAAATCTGAAGTCTTCCCCCTGACCGAGGGTCAGTTTGAGGGCATCCCAGTGCCCATACCGGGACACACGGGCGTCATACTCAGGAAGCAGTACGATTTCGACGACTGCGTCTCTAGAAGTTCCGACCACAGAACAGGTGATTCATTTGACGACATCATCAGCGTGCCGTGCTCCTCTCTTAAATATATGTACAAAATGTACAACCTGAATAGCTAGTTTGTACATACGAGTGTTAATTTATAACTTGAATTATATCATTTATTTCATTTATGTTAATTTATTGATAGTATATCTGGTTTATATCTTAATTTGTTAAGTTGAACTATGTAATTTATTACATTAAATTAATGTTAATGTTAATGTTTGGATTGAATGACATGGTTAATTTATACATCCAGTCCAGCCGTCCCTGCGGCCGCTACAGCCCATGTAGGGCTTTGGCCTGCCTCACTACTTCTTTCCACCCAGACCTAACGAAGGCTTTTCTTTTCCGAGCTTAGATTCCCAGCCTCGGTAGATCTTTTTCCACATCATCCATAGCTAAGCCTAGGTCTACCTTTGAGCCATTTTCCTCTGGGGTTTTGGTGGTGCACCCTCTTCATTCCTCTGCCAAATGACATTCTCCCTAAGTGTCCTGCACAGGGTATTATAGCCTACCATTTTTTTTTACATCCAGTATTTCATGTATATATTTGATCATTACTTTATACCTGATAATACATTGGTTAATTTATTTATTTTTTTAATTTTACCTTGAATGTTTCAGTGAGCGGTGAAAACCCGTGACCTAATTTTTACGTTGGCGTCATGTATGTCTATAAATAAATTGATTTTGCTGGTGGGGGCGGTGGTGGGGGTGGGCGGGGCCGGGGGGCGAATCTCTTTGTAACTATCCATGGGGATGACCAAAAAAGCAAGCGTGGAAAAGTGGTGAGGGTGGGTCAAATATTTGACTTTTTTTTTGCGTACGTTCTATATGGGTGCCCTCTTAACATAATTTACTTATGAGTACTTATGCCCTACTAGGCGGATGATTCCCTTCCCCGCCCAAAAGTGTAATACTAGTGTAAAACCTCCTTACTCGGCCTACTTAGGTAAACAGGGGTAAGCTGCAGTAGCCGACCAAAGATCTTGGATCATCTTTGGACTGTGATTGTTTCCATCCCTACCCAGCATATTTGTGCAGTCCGTCCGTCCGCCCCCCCCCCCCTGGCGGGTACAGTTTTGCTAGCACGGCATATTTTCTTGATCAGTAATCAAACAAGCTCAGTTAATTATAAGGACCAGGGCTGCCAATCAATTAACTTAGGTAAACAGGGGTAAGCTGCAGTAGCCGACCAAAGATCTTGGATCATCTTTGGACTGTGATTGTTTCCATCCCTACCCAGCATATTTGTGCAGTCCGTCCGTCCGCCCCCCCCCCCCCTGGCGGGTACAGTTTTGCTAGCACGGCATATTTTCTTGATCAGTAATCAAACAAGCTCAGTTAATGATAAGGACCAGGGCTGCCAATCAATTTTTTTTTAATTCCCAAGATTTGATCAAAACATTTCCCAAGATTTGGTCAAAACGTTCCCAAGATTTCCCAATATCATGAAAATATGTAAGGGTTGTTTTTTTTTCCGATCACCCGTAAATTCTCCACACATGTAACCAATTAACCGAATACCTAACACGACAACCGATCACACGTCAATTCTCCGCCCTGAATGAGGTAGTGAATTCCCAAGATCTTGGGAAATTTCCCAAGGTGTGGTAGCCCTGATAAGGACTCGTTGCTTCGATAGCCGCCCTGACGTCGTGTCTCAGGATTCGTTTGATGGCACTGGGTGGGAAAACTTGGTACGCCTTTCTTGGCGACGCGTGTTTAAACACGCAACTTCCTTCATATAGGCCATTGCCATGACTTCCTTCATGTCGGCCGTTAACTCAAGCGGTAGGTTCGGTTACAACAGCCAGGACGTAGCTGGTTATGTCATGATTTACTTACTGATGTCACGTACAGCACTTGGAGCAAGTCCTGTCCACTCATATCTGTCCTGTGATTTATTTTATTGCTTCAGAAAGGAGTGTCCTCGGCTTTGAGAAGCTTCCAGAATAACCAGAAAATATTTATATGTCACCAGAACATATTGATAGAACATGTCACCAGAAAATATTGATAGAACATGTCACCAGAACATATTGATAGAACATGTCACCAGAACATATCGATAGAACATAATTAGCAGTGAACATGAACAGTTTAACATTGTAATGTCAACATTTTTACTGTAAGTCTTCCGTTGAAATGTAATTCTCATAGCTTATTTTTCGTTTGGCCTTGTTGGGAAACTATGAACTTTGGAAGGGAAAAAACAAACATACTATTTTTTTTTTACGGTAGGCAGGGGCGGAAGAGTCCAGAGGGTTTTTTGCACCGGGACAAGATTTTTTCACTCACCCCCTTCGGCTTTGAAACCCATTATTTTCATCAATAAAATACAGCCCATCTTGGCGCCCAAACTAGTCAGGCGCCCGGGGACACATGTCTGCCCTCTACCTGCCTTCACTAGGCCACTAGCAAAGTCAAGGGTCACCCTAGCTGGCACAAACTCTAGCCCCAGTACTGCTGAAATTGATTGACGTTTCTGGGATTTAGGGGTACATTCTTCTTATAACCTCACTGGCAGAAGTCATCCACCAATAGTGCACATCTTGCCTCCATGGTATTTATTGATTTTATTATTGTCTCGAAAATTTGTCAACAGCAGGAGTTGTCGGCCCGCGGGCCAAATGGGACCCGACGCTTGAAATAAGGCCACGGCCCGGATTCCGGGTGCATTGCAAATAACCTTTTTCTTTCTTCATTCAATTTGCGCTTCAATTCATTCTGGGTAGGAACGCACATTTAAAAATTTTTTTAAAAAAAAAAAGAACCCAACAACAACAAAAAAAGAGTTGTGCCTGAGTTAAATCTGTACGAAGTGTGTTTGCGGCATGAGTAGAAGTGTTATCATCTGTGAATAGTTTCATGATAATTTATGGGAAAATTTATCTTTAAAAACGTAGAAATGATAATGTTGTTTAGAAATCTTAATGTTATATTAAAATCTTAATGTTATATTAAAATCTTAATGTTATACATTTCAATTTGTTGAATAGCTTCCTTTAAAAAAAGGGATTTTTGACACAAATAAATAAATATTTTGATTCCCTAATGAGACTATTTATTGTAAACTGATTAAACTGAAAAGATCAGTTGAGATGCGCGAAAACTAACTTAATTTTTTTAAAAAAAAATATTACAGTAAAATGTAAAAAAATCTAAGTGCTGTAAAAGATAAATAAATATAACATTAATTTGGTTTCATTCTGCTTTTATAAATTTTGCATTTCATCTTCATTATGTGCATTATGAATCAAAAGAAATAACGCTATACTGTAACATTGACACTGACGCTAAGAGATGGCGTTGATTTCACTGTATAAATTCGCGATTTAATTGCTCAAAATAAGATTCTTAAATATAACACAAGTGCGTTTGGTGTGTAATATATTTGTGTGGTTTTTTTCTGAAATAGTTGGTGAAATCAATCTGCGGTGTAAAATATGACGGGAAACTATACTATTAATACAGTTCAAGGGCGGTGGTGTACTGGGAGGAAAAAGGAAAGGGGGGGGGGGCGGACTAATTTAGAATCGTATAAAGTACGTTCCATGAATGCCTGTTCTGTCATGAAACTCTAGGAGATGGGAAGGTCGCGCATTGGGGCCGCCATTGTTTCGTGGGCCATAGCTAGTAAATACATATTTCTGAACAACGGCTACTTTGTGTTCACGACCATATGCGAAGGATAAGTTGGGCTCGTGACAGAACCTGAAAAATACCCCCCACCCTTTGTTAAATCAATACATGATAAATGATACGCACACACATAACAATTGATATATAGGCAATATATTGATTTTTTCAACAGGTGTATTGGCGTTTTTGGCGCCCCATTAGGCCCCCCCCCTTCTCACTGCCCTGATTATGTCATGCAAGCGGCCTTCGAAATGTTGACTCGCGATCTAAATTACCCGTGAAGCCAGGGTTTCTTTCAGCCATATTTCGTGGGGATGGGGGGGCCCTTAGTGCCCCTCCCCCACCTCGGAGAGCGCCAAGAGCACCCTGCAGCACCATGTGTAAAACAATAGAACGATTATATGTTTTGTTATTTAAAAACGACCAAGTTGTCCTTTGTAAACAGTTGTAAAAAGAAAGGTATCCGGTGCCGTTTACCGATTACAATTGTTGGAATCTATGAAATATCGCGACGTCGTTCGTTCGATATATTACGTTCCGTTTATATAAGGCTAATCTTGTTAAAGGTTAACAGTATTCGATTATAACTAATCGTACTGGCCGCTCATGATTATACACCGAAGGCTTAGATCTACTTCTTATTGTTCGCACTCATCTGTATTTTTTTTTTTTTCATTTATTTTTTTTGCAAACACAAAAATTTAAAAACAACACTGTATTAAACTACCTTTACATCAATATCGAAGTCTACAATTCTAAGAATATTTCTTGCTAAGTATAAAAAAAAAATTAACAATCTATTTTCAAATTATATTTCATTAGCATTACTTTTAAAGTGGGGATTGGTATTAATTATAAATTGTACAGTGGCATTAGGCTTAAATATATACATATCTATTTATTAGCCTAATTATAAATGCACTCAATTCCATGAATGGTGAGTTATATAAAATGTCAAGTTAAAAAAATTGAGATATATTTTGTTTAAATGAATAATTTTACGGGTGCATAAAAATAGTGCACATTTCAGCAATTATTATTTTGAGAGCGTTCGTGTTTTTTTAAATGTTTTACTTTGTAACCAAGTTTCACGGTTTGAATTTAATAATTAGCCATTTATTTATTTAAGTCCCAAAATGCTTTTGCTTTTAAATATCAGAATAATAAACAAAATTTCCTTCCTAGTTGCACGGACTTTTAACAATTAATTAAAAAATTTCTAGATGAGAATCTATTAGAAAGCTAGAAAAAAAAATAATAAAAAAAATAAAAAATTGTCAACTAGCATTTCTGTTATCATGTCAATTCCATTTTTTTTTTTTTAAAGGTAATTGTTTTAGAAAAAAATTATTATTCCTAATTTGTCAATTCAAAATAATTTCTGTGGATTTGGGAATACAATTTTTTAAAGTATATCTAAGCCTAAGTG